CTGGAAGAGTTTGCCTGTGCCTGCCAACAAGTTGGCTGTATCTACATGTTCTCTCATAAAACTGGGGAGGTCATCTACGCTGAAGTCAAAGTCTATCAAACCAGTCACCACTGAAATCCAACCCCTAGCGTTACTCAACAGGAAAGGGGTGAGTTATAGGGAACAGCAACTACTTCCTCCGCAGCTCCTGCTCAGCGAGAATCTTCAGAAACTCCTGCCTCTGGAAAAAAAATTAGTTTAGATTCTCATCGTCTATGAAAGAAAATGCCCTTACTTTTAACTAAGGACAGAACACTTAACTGGCAAACCATCGAAATGGGTCTAGCAGCACTGTAGCTCCAGGCCCAGGCTGGGACTGTCACTACTTTCTTTTTGAAACAGAAAAGATAAGTCCAGAGTACCAGAGGGAAATCCACAGAAGAGTCTACCTCTTAACCACTGCATTTTATAACCATGCCACTTCCTTATTTCCATCCCCATCTGTTAGGATATCTGTTACAATGCTTTGGAAAATCCAAGTTTTTTTTTCTTTCTCTTTTAAAGTTCAAGTCTAAATATCAACCTGAAGGGATATTGTTTGGTGTAAGAAGTCCAACTAGTTAACACTCCAAAGTGGTCTTTCTACAGGGCTCATATATTTACTGGCTTTTTGCGGGACGGAGTCTAACACAAATAGACAAACAATGAAGAAAAATGTTGCCTACAAGTCATTTCATCTGGTCCTACAAGTTTGCACTACATAATTTGCCCTTTCAACATTTTAAAAATCTCAGAATGATTTCTTAGAAATTTAATATTCATTAGTGCACATCCAAATTAGATTAATAAAATCAATGCTATTGATTGTAAGGCACTGAGTTTAGCAAGGAACTAGTATTTTGCCTAGTGATAGGAGTTATCTGGAACTGAAAATAAGGGATTTTCTTACCATCATAAGCAAGGTCAAGGCTGGCCCTGGAGAATGACAAAACCTAAAGGTAGTTTTTATAGGAACAAAATCTAGAAATGAAAGCTCTGGCTTAATCACACAGCTTCAGTATCGAGACTTACCCAACCAGAAATTATATAGGCCTTAAAAACAATCGTGGGCCGGGCCTGCTGAGGGAGTGAGTGGGAGGGAGGCCGCAAATTCAGTTTCCAGGCATCTCTGAGCCCACCTAGTAGATGCTGTGAGCAAGGCTCGCCCTCCCAAGTTGAAAAAACTTATGGTCAAGAAGTTATCATTGAAATCAAATGGTGGCAGACATGTCCAAGGAATAATTTGGGGACTTGATTTATGAATCTTGTGATAGATGGATGTTTGGAGATGGCAACTCGTGGGCCACAGAAGAATACTGGAATGGCGGTAACATGAGGAAATAGTATCTTCGTGGTGGAAGACTTAGGACAAGTATAAAGAATCGCTGTTCAGCAGAGAAATCCATGTCCTCTCCCAAAGGGCCTGTTTTACTATGATATGAAAATCAGGTCATGTACTTTCATTATTAAACTTGTTAAATAAAAAGAAATAATTGTGGACTGGATATATAACCATCTCTATTTTTTTGCTAGATAGAACACACAACTTTTTGTCACATAAGGAATATCAAATGTGCCAATTTTTCACTTAAGGTATACATGACATTAAATTGTATATTCCAACAGTAATCAGCATCCTTATACATATTGAAACATCACTATGTATTCCATGAAAATGTACGTTGTCAATTAAAAAAAATAAAATAAAAAAGTCAGCATCTTGATTAACTTGAGACAATACTCAAAGGACTCCAAGCATCTAACTTAAAATTTTAGGAAGAACGATTATTGATAAATAATATACAGGCTTGGTCTTGCAATGTGTTTCTCTAAACCAGTCCCATAATAAAGTTCTTAACATCAATTGACAGAAAATCTTAGAAAATGTATATTTACCTATTCCTAGGTTATGATCCAATGGTTTCCAAGGGAAAGTGTGGTATAGTGGAAAAGCACAAATTGCAGACTTTGAAGACCTTTGCTTGACTCCTGGCTTAGCCCCCATGAGCTGTATGTTAGGCAAACATAACCTCTCTGAAGGACAGATTCTTCATTAAGGCAGATCAAAGTAACTTAGCCATAAGGAACAAATGAACTAATTTGGTATTTATAAACTTTCCTCAACTTAAGACTGTATCTAGTAATGCATAATCAAAATAGAGTTCTAAATCCGAGCTCAAAGACATTTTGAAGAAGTTCCCTCAATTAACTAAAAACTAAATTTGGATTTGGGCCCAGCATTGCCCCCTCCTGGTCACATCTTAGAAACAAACTCCCTCGAAAACTTGAGTTTGCAAATTCAGTTTTTTTCTATCAAAAGTTCCCCAAAAGGCTTATTCTTGTTCTGATCTCCAGTATATACATTAGGCTTTTCTCCAAGAAATACCATTTCTAATTATCTTCATTTAAATAAAATCGTAAGTAGATACAGTATTATTTCTCACCTTTAAGATGACTTTCATAACTAGACTGAGCCATCTTTTCAGGTTTTTAAAACACTTTCCTTAGAATGTCTTTCCTGCTTCCAATGTTGGAAATAGAAAAGAAGAAAAAAAAAAGATGAAGGACTTTAGTCTTTGTTGCATCTTAACCAAAGGTATAGATACCTTGTCTTTCAGGTGTCACAGTGAAGATTCAAGAGCTGGTTCTTTACCCTAAAGGATGCTATTACCACAGGTCATTCCCGCTTTTCAGGTATTCATCAATTTCTTCATTCTTGGGGTGATGTTTGGGGGGGGAAAGCCTTCCAAATCAAAAGTCAAAGTTTTATACCAAATCTGCTTATTATCACAGCATGAGTTCACGATGGCTGGACTTACAGTCCAAACTAAGGGAACTGCCTCTCTCTATGAAACCATAAAAACGTACACTGGAGCCACGTTGGGTAGGGCACACAGATGGCACTGGTAATTTTAGAAGTCTGAATCTCTATGGGTGAAATTCTACCACCTCCTTTTCATCTTCTACAAGCCTTAGTTTCATTATCTCCAAAATGGAGATAATATTATATCATCTACTCTGCTGGGACTCTGGGAAGGCCAAATGAGGTAATATATGAAAAGCGCTTAGCATAATCTTTGGTGCACAGAAGGCATCAGAAAAAGAGATAGGCATTATCAATTAGCTCCTTGGTTTAAAAAAGTCAATTATTGAATGAGGCATTATATCACCACTCACAGGCATGCAAACTCCTCTGAGGAGTTACTTCCTATCACAGCTTCTGAGACCACACCTCAAAAATTCTCAATGTGTTCTCCACGGGCATGAAGTCACTGCAGGTGACGTCTGTAGTGGGACCTGCTAAGACAACAAAGTCGAGAACAGGCTAGTGAGGAGAATTATAAACAACCAAGGAAATGTCTTCTTTTCCAAGTTCTGAGTATTTCACAACATGGTGCTTAGGGACTAAGAAAGGGAGAAGTTGCGTGCAGCGACTGGAAACATTGGATTGTTTAGGTCTATTGCACCCTCTAGTGGCCACAATGAAGACTGTTTTTTTTAAAATCCCAGTTTGGCTAAGATTGCAACTTGGATATGGGTATACATCAGCCTTGAGTTTAAAGAATAACCAGTCTTGCCTTGATGTGTTTTCTATGGTTTTTAAAAAAATCGAATGTTAAGAGAAACCAATGCTGTCACAATTTTATCCATTCAATTCTATTTCTCTATTCCGGCTGAATGAAATATCGATCAACTGAGGAAAGGCAAAGGCAACTACCTACCTTTCATGCTGTATTGATTCTTAAGTAGAACTGAAGATAATCATTTTTGTTGCTTTGTGAAAGGGAATTTTGAAATGAGCATCTTTCTAAAACAGCAATTTCTCACCACAGGGTTATTTACAAGCCAAGGTAATAATTAAATATGCCCAAGACTATGAATCTATTCTTCTCTGCCCAAACCCTTCATTTTTATAATGGATAATTATAGCAAAAACTTCGATTAACCAGAACCCTCAATTAGCATGATTTCTTCCTCTTGTACTCTAGTTTTAGGACAAAGTGGAAAAATAATCACAATAAATTATTCACGTGAGGGATTTAGTTTGAAAATCTTCTGGGATGGTTATGCTATGATTCACATCATGATTATTAATATACAGAAAATACATAATATAACTGGACAAGAGCTGGAAGGAAATAAAAGTTTCAAAATTGCTAATGTGGTGAAACTGTGAAATATTTTTTATTCTTTCTGCTATTTTCTTTACTGTTACATTGCTATTCATAAAACAAAAAAAGAGGGGAAATATCCTGTAAAATCTTCTATTTTCTACACTGATGGATCCAAACAGAATTGAGACTACAGGAATCCTAAGGCCACCATACTTTATTAAGATGAAAAATAGGTCTCTCAGGGAATATCTCCTCCCATATGAGCTGAAACAAGTT